CTGTGTTAACATATTTCCATAAAACAGGAAATAGTGTGAGTTTTAAATGAAATAAATAGCTATTTCTGGAACACAATACTCAAAGAATATTTTTACCCTCTCATGGCACTGTTACTTGTCTGTATAAAATAGAGTCTTGCCATTATTCTAATGACCAGGCTTTCAGCACTGTTGCAAGACAACTTTCCAAGACTAAGATTCACAGTTACAAACCTCAATGATTTTCCGATTTCTTTTTCATGAAGTATCTAACAGTCTGAATGCACATCACTTTTTGTGTAAGGGTATGGGGGTGAAAAAATGTAACATTTTTGAGTTAGAATGAAGGTAAGACCCAGTATGCTGCAAATCAAAGATGATACTTCAGGATCTAAAAAATGGAATTTGAGATTTACTGTCACTTGTTTGAAAATTGCTCTGACAATTCTTTAAGCCATGTAAGTATCACAGATCTGCAAGACCATGCTTTGATATATTTATACATTTAACTTTATTTGATATGCTTGGTTTTTTTAAGCAACAAAGACTCACAGTAAATCTAATGCTGTAAAGTTGTATCATTTTTTAAATCAATCCTTATTTTCCTATATATACTGTATGATGTAGAAGAACCAATAAAAACTAGTTTCTGGAACTGCAGCATGTAATTTAGAAGGAAAGCATCAGATTGTCCTTACAAGTGATTTTTCAATAATATTAGTGACAACTGCATAGGGTTATTCTGCCAGGGTGATTTGAGACAGTTGAGCTTACAGGATTTGAGGAATTATTATTGGATTCAAAACATTAACAAGTTGTTTATAGTTATGACTTACTATGAGAAGCTGGGGAGAATGATGCATGTATTGTTTACAGTGGAGTTTGCAGTTCATTAAAATGTCCTAAAATATCTCTGTAAGATCTTCAGTATGCTGGAATCACCTTATTAATACCAATGAAATAACGCATTTAAGCTAGTAAGGATTTTTTTTCTTACAGAGTCCAAATCTACTTTTTGCTTAATATTTTTACCTTCAAAATTATTTTTATGAAAGACTTAGGGGCACAACCTAACTCCCAGCCACATCAGGTGATTTAATTTACCAAGCAGCTAGTGATTTTTATAAAAGTTGGATCTGCCCTGTGTGAATATTCTGTGGGCTGGTAGCTGAAGGAAAGCCTTGATTAGTGTGGAAACTTCTCTATCAGAAATAATCTGATAGTGTACTAGCAATTTTAAAGTCATAATATGTGATGAGAAATTCTGTTAATGCCTGGTGATATAAGTAAACCTTTCACTAAAAACTCAGGTGCTGGTGCATTTCAAAAATGTTTTCCCTTCAGTAACATACATCCTGTCATTCCTTTGCTTGGATCTATTACTGTGTTCTACCAGGTAACTCTTTCATGCCAAATTGAACATGAAAATTAACTGACAATTTCCTCTGCATCTGTGGTAACAAAATAGGTCTTTTTCCTTCAAATATTATAGGATGACTTCTTGTAACATGGGACATTTTATGCTGATTAGACAACCAGAAAATTTCCTGCCTCAAATAATCATCTCTGTATAGGCATCCTCAAGTCTTCTCAGTCTAAACATTGCAGTAAACCACAATGAAAAAACAGCTTTGAAGTATTCCCAGTAGCAATCTTGGAATTTCTTCAAGTATATTGAGATTTTGTTAGAAATTGAATTGCCAGTGTAATCCATCTTCCTTGTGAGAAAAGATTCAGATAAAGAGCTGGAGCCTAGCAGCATTAAGTATTAGAACATCCCTTTAAATCAATAAGCTACAAATCTGGCAGCGCATTCATGCAATGCCCAGTGCTACACTAACGTTGCTTTAGTGCTGAAACAGCATTACTAATAGCACATTCCCAACATGGATAAACACCTGAGTGATGCAGTAACCCAAAACATACGAGGCCTTACCTAGTTAAGTCTCACAAAAACATTTATATTGTACTGACTTGGATAAGAAAGGAAGTTTCTTTCTTCTTTTTTCTTTTCAGATGACTTTCCAAACGTAGTTATAGATGGCATTCTACATGGAATATTTTATCCTCATTTACTGCCCAGGTAGAAGCAATGTGTGGCAAAAAGGAGCTGAAGCAAGTCTCCGAGTCATGTTTAATTGAATTAACAGGAATGAAATTCTGTGACGTGAAAACTGTGCTCAGAAGCAAGAAGCACGACCTCAGCTTAAGTTCAAGCATTATATCTTTTTAAATAAAATCACTGTCACTACAATTGCTGCTTAAAAAAAAGAGATATGGAAGAAACAGTATTGAAGTTACTTATACCTTCTGCATAGTGACATGCTGTTTTACACTAAACGTTCTAAGTCATACACTGAATTACACTAACCTTTGAAAAGTTTTACTAATTATTTCTATGATTTATATCATAACAAACACTAAACTTTTTGCACCAGGAATTTTTCCAGCACATTACCCATTGCTGGCACTGGATGGATTAAAAGTGCTGAAGAGAGTGTGTGAGAAATTGGAAAACATGCTTTCACATTCTGAAACGCACAGCGCTCTCTCGGGAAATTTCCAAGATTTCAGTGGGAATTATTTTACTTACCAGGAGCTTTTACATAGCATTTATGTATCTCCATTCAGTTACAACATCTAACCTGTGCGTGTGTTTACCCTCCACATCAACTTACAGACTGTATTCTATATCCTAACATTTTGTAAATCACAGAGCATAAGACTCTGTGGTAAACTAAAGCAAGAATATGATTACAATTATGATCAAACTAAAACTGATACATATATACGTGTTCAGATTTGACTGGAAATTTGTATGTACACTACTGGACATTACAAAATAAATCACAAGGACATGAACAAACCATTCCCAGTGTCTTTTGTGGGCGCTTCTATTGACACAAGACATTTCTCTGAGCTTCTGCATTCAGAGATAGGTCTCACAGATGACTCCACATCAAGTATGAGAAATTACCTGTGTGCTTGTTCATTTAATACTCTCAGCACCACACCACCTGAACATGCTAGGCTTACAAAAGTCTATGACTTGGTGAAAAACACCGAGTGCAGTTGAACAGCCAGTGAGTCATTTAGGTCATCAGCACAAGGGACTGTTGCACAAAAGCAGCAATGGCAAACCTTGGCATGAACATATGTCTAATCCTGAAGACACAAGGGTTGCCTCCTCTGACTGCTTAATCTGTTTGGAAGCCACATGGGGAGAGTGAAAAGCTGAGACCTGGATAAAAGGTAGGCCTGTGACTGCAGCACTTGTTCAGGTAGCAGAACTCTATGCTGTCTGCAGGATCAATCTCCAGGAAAGCTTTCAGCCACCAGCAGAAGGCTGTTTGGGCATGGGAGTCGGAGGCATTCACACTCCTGCTGCCTAACCCTGCTTCCCAGTGCTGCTTTTCAGCAGTTAATAGAAAGAAAAATGAACGGGTGTAAAATGGAAGTCTGATTGCCTAGCACTAGGCAAATTCAGAGGCCCTTGGCAAAGTTCTCCTCTAGCTGTTTAAATAGGACAGTAATCCTTTCACAGGATTTCTTCTCTGAAAAGAAGTGTCAGTATTTACCCTCAGAAAAGGCCTCAGAGCTGAGGATGATGAAGCAGCAGGAGCATCCCTGTAACTGCAAATGACATGTCAGGAGGGCGTGGGGTAAATCCCTGCCAACAGCATTTTCCTGTTTCCTTACAAGTGGCATGCCTGTAGGTGCCTACAAGCTCTGCGCTGTAGCAAATGATCCTACCCTGCACCACTCAAAGTTGCTTACCTCACATGGACTCCAGGACTCCCCTCAGGAAACTAGTCACTACAAAGAGTGGTATGCTGCCTGCTCTACAGGTGGACAAATCCTTCACAAGATCTTGGTATCAGCTCCTGTCTTGAGGCTGTCTTGAGCTGACACTGTCAGCTCCAAATGACAAAAACCCACGTTTCCTGTGGAGTACTATGTAAGTCATTAAAGAACTTAATTAACACAAGTGTCTCCACATGTTACTTTACACTGACATTGTTTAACAGCCACAAGTTAAGTTGTCAGCTGAACAGTTACCTATGAAGCATCACAAACACAATGAACCTAAAGTTGCATCTCTGGCATACAACAAAACTGCAAGAAAATGCATTTGAGCTTTATAGTAACATTGAGTAGGTGTTGCGAAATGCACTGTGCTGTAAAACAAGGACTTCTGTTCTAATCAGTTTCTGATTACCTTATTCAGTAACAGGCAGAGAAGCTGCTCATTCTTGCTTACAAGATGGTATCTAATACTGTGGTTCTTTGAAAGACAGCAGGGACTTTATCTCACT